CAACAACATTTCGAGTTTTTTTTGAACTCCCCAGATTTCTTGGAATTTTCGGTTCCAAAAATACATTTTTATCATTATTCACTTTAATCATCTCCAAACTTTCTTTTGTTACCAATTGAGTTGGCTCTAAAAAAATATCATCATCATCTTTAGATGTATTTGACTGGTCAGAAACTATTTCTTGAGTTGGTTCTGAATAAATATCTGTATCCACAGATTTAGATGAATTAACTGCTATTACAAGTTGAGTTGGTTCCAAAAATATATCATCAGTATCTTTAGATGTATTTGATTGATCTGAAACTATTTCTTGAGTGGGTTCTGAATAAACATCTTTATCCCGAGATGTAGAAGGATGAAGAACTAACACAGGTTGAGTTGGTTCTAAAAAGATTTCATCATTATCTTTGGATTTATTGGGTTGATCAGAACTTATATCTTGCATTGCCTCTGATTGAACATCCTCAGATGTACATGAATTAACTGTTATTAGAGGTTGAGTTGGTTCTAAAAAGATCTCATCATCTTTAGATTTATTGACTTGATCAGAGCTTATATCTTGCATTCCCTTTGAATAAACATCCTCAGATGCAGATGAATTAACTGCTGATACAGGTTGAGTTGGTTTTAAAAAGATGTCATCATCATCTTTGGATTTATTGGGTTGATCAGAACTTATATCTCGCGTTGCCTCTGAATGAACATCCTCAGATGCAGATGAATTAACTGCTGTTACAAGTTGAGTTGGTTCTAAAAAGATTTCATCATCATCTTTAGATTTATTGGGTTGATCAGAACTTATATCTCGCGTTGCCTCTGAATGAACATCCTCAGATGCAGATGAATTAACTGCTGTTACAGGTTGAGTTGGTTCTAAAAAGGTTTCATCATCATCTTTAGATTTATTGGGTTTATCAGAACTTATATCTCGCGTTGCCTCTGAACGAACATCGTCCAATGTAGATGAATTAGCTGTTGTTAGAGGTTGAGTTGGTTCTAAGAAGATCTCATCAGCTGTAGATATATTAGGTTTATCAGAACTTATATCTCGCGTTGCCTCTGAACGAACATCCTCCAATGTAGACGAATTAGCTATTATTAGAGGTTGAGTTGGTTCTAAAACGATCTCATCATCTTTAGATTTATTAGGTTGATCAGAACTTATATCTCTCATTGCCTCTGAACGAACATCTCCAAATGTAGATGGATTAGCTGTTATTAGAGGTTGAGTTGGTTCTAAGAAGATCTCATCATCTTTAGATTTATTGGGTTGATCAGAACTTATATTTCGTGTTGCCTCTGAATGAACATCCTCCAATGTAGATGAATTAGCTGTTATTAGAGGTTGAATTGGTTCTAAAACGATCTCATCATCTTTAGATTTATTAGTTTGATCAGAACTTATATCAGGCATTGCCTCAGAACAAATATCTTCAGGTGTACATGAATTAACTGTTGTTGCAGGTTGAGTTGGTTCTAAAAAGATTTCATCATCACCTTTAGTTTTGTTGGGTTGATCAGAATCGATTAATTCTTGAGTTGGATTTGGAATATCTTTATCAGGTTTTGAAGGTTCTAAATTTTCAATATCATTCTTTTTATTTTGGGAGTTTTCAAGAATTATTAGTTGAGCTGGATCTTTTTGATTGCCTTTATCGTCAATAATATCGTCTTTGGATTCATCACCTTTCATTTGAACATCTAAATCTTCAGCTGGCATTAAAATACTATCTTCAACAAGATCAGTTTGATTCAATAAACCTTCATTATTTTCTTGAATTGTTGGTAATTTATCCGACATATTTTTTGTAACCTCAATTGTAAAACTTTCTGTTAACATTAAATCTAGCGAGAAGTCAATAGACGTTTGTGAATTTGATTCTTTACTTTTATTAGAACTTTGACTTAATTTAGTATTTTTTTGAAAACTTGATAATGAATTTACAAAGCAATTTTGACTTGCTGGAACAAAATCTGATTCATCTAATTGATTATTGTTCACTTTTTCGCCGTATTCCATGTCTGTTTCACTACCACTACAAGGTTTTTGATCATCTTTTTTATGAGACTGTTTCTTAACCAATTTTTTCTTTCTCTTATTCTTATTTTTATCAATTTTTAAATCTAAATCGGTTTCATCTGATGATTCACTGCGTTCTTTCAACAATTTCTGTTGTGTAACATCAATATCAGTTTCATCAGATGATTCTGAATCTGAATTGATAACATTTCTTACTTTTCTCTTTAACAAATCAACTCTTAAAGAACAAGGATGATTATCTGCAGAACTAGCAGGCGTTACATGTGTTTCATCATTTTCATCATATTCATTATCAGATGTGACAACGTTTTTAATTTTGCGTTTTAAAAATGTTGTTTGCAAAGGTTCTTGGGAACTTTCTATACTCAAACCTACAGCAGTTAACGACGAATCTGGTGGATTTGGGGTCTTATCATTAACATCATTTGCTGCAATGTCATCAAATAATTCAGTCACTGGGATAACATTTAAGAAATCTTCTGAACAATTACTATTCGCATCATCTCCATCATCATTTTGAATGGTTTCATTTACAACAGTATCGTCAATAACACTTAACTCATTAGGGGCTGTTTGTTCGCGCGTCTCTTCATCCAAAGATGTTTTTGGTTGTTCTTTGTCTTTGTCATCGCCTTGACCTAATCCTTTTTCTTGTATAATGTTAGGGCAGAGACTTTGAGTTGGCTCTTTTGTAAAAAAATCCTCATCCCAAGATTTATCAGGAATATCTTTCAGCTCTTCATTAATCTGCTGCAATAAACCATCAGAGAATTGTATGTTATTATCTTTCTAAAATATAAAACACGGTATAAAGTATAATTCAAAATAAATTATCAAAGCTATTATCTCAAAAACAACCTTAAACCTTGCTTAATTTTTAAATACCTTTGATTCATCTGGCACGAAAACAATTTGTGTTGGCATATCATAAATAGAAGCATGCTGTTGACTTATTTCTGTACACCTTTCTGTTTTTGATGTATCCGGAATTTTGAATTCAACATTTAAATTTGGAGTTACATCAAGATCGTTATCATCTATTAATTGTGTAGGTAACTCATGAATTGTAGGTACATCAATATTATTCACTCCAGTAGTTTCTAACTCAACATTTGTGTTTATGGATATTGTTTCATTATCAGGAATCATTTGTGTGGGGATATCAAAAACGCTGTCATTTACTTGTGAATACTGAGAGTCATCTTGTGAATTCGATTTATGTAGCAACTACGAAAATAATAATTAATTAATTATACAGGATGTCTCACGTAACTGATTCGTTAGAACTTTTTCAGGTTCCACTATTCGTAGAGATTTGAAATTTTGGTAGCCTGGGGAAATTTTGGGTTGTTCATTCGGAACTTTCAAGATGGCCGCCACTACCGGAACTAGGCCATAACTTCGTTATTTTAAATGGAATTAGTAGTTTTTATTACACCATTTAATTGTACGTAAAAAAATAGGTTGACTTTTTTTTCTATATTATGCATAGCACAATTGTATAACACCTAGTTAATACATACTAGTTAGTTACTTATTTTTAATACTAAATTAAACTAGATAATGTTTCGCAGCTTTTTCCAGTGGTCCAGTCTGTTTTACCCAAAATATAGATATTGCCATATTTTTACCGTTTTCAGACCAAAACACAAAAACGCGCACACTGCGATACGCGGAACACACGTTTCAACTTGTTTCTTAGTGATAGCGTTGATTTTCTGCCAATAAGCCAACATAGGTGTCTAAATTTGATATCAAGTTCCTCACGTTTTTTTTTTGACGTGAGCTTTCCATTTAACTTTGGCCTCTAGCGGCATACCAAGATATTTTGCGGTGTCAGCGTAAAGGACTGCATTGCCATTTATGTGTACTGGGACATACTTTACTTTGTTATAAGTAAAGTTTATGTATGTCGATTTATTTGTATTTAGTTTTATTGGCCATTGTTTGGTCCAGTTTTTTATTGAATTTACGGCCAATTGTAACTTATTTGCTACAACTACTTCATTTTCTGCAACAGCCAAGATCGCTGTGTCATCTGCAAATGTAGCTGTTAAAGTTTCTGGTACCTGAGGAAGGTCGAATGTGTAGAGTAAGTAGTCTTCGTATTTCATGTAGTGGTGAATAAGCGTTTTTGTATTTTACTTTAAAATATCGATCAGAAAGATACGATTTTAATAGTTGACTATACGTTGATGGTAGTATTTGATCTAGTTTATAATTTAAACCATCTAACCAAATTTTGTCGAAAGCTTGTGCAACATCCAAAAATACGACGGAGCAGACTTTATTTTCTTCCATTGCTATTTCGATAGTATTCGTTATTCTATGCACTTGGTCTATTGTTGCATGTTTATTCCGAAACCCAAATTGATGTGTTGCTATAAGGGCTTTTTCTTCTATGACAGGTTTTAATCTTTTTAATAGTAATTTTTCAAGCAGTTTTGATAGTAAGGGTAATAATGAGATTGGCCTATATAATGTAACATCTGTGGGGGGTTTACCAAGTTTTGGATTATTTCAGCAATTTTCCATATGCTTGGGAAGTATTTCTGTTTAAAAGCAGCATTATTTATGTGTAATAGTTTTGTAATCGCCTGGATTGGTAGATGTTTTAATGTTTCTTCATTAATTAGGTCATAGCTTACTGAGTTCTTTATATTTAGTTTTTGTATTTCATAATACAGTTCTTTCATTCTTACACATGGTATATTACTCTGCTGATCACTTTGAATTACGCTATTGACACTATTTAGCATAGTTGTTGGACTGTCTGATGTAAAAGTTTCTTTCAGATGTCCATCAAACAAATTAACTTTTTCTTGATTACTCTTAGCCCAATTTCCATTATTATTTCGAATTGGAGGTGTGTGTTTTTGGAACTTTAAGCTTTCTTGTTGCCTTCCACAGAGAATAATCAGTACTGGCATCGTCAGTAAGGTCTTTTAAATAATTTTGAATATTATTTTCTTTGTGGATATCTGTTAATGCTCTTAAATGCGGCTGTTATTTTATTTAATTTAATTTTATCACTAGGAATTCTATTGTTTTGCTATTTCTTTTTTGCTTTCCGTTTTTCAGCAATTTTGTCTCTAATGAATTCAGGCTGCGGTTTGTATGTCTTTTAAGAACTTTTCTACTTCATCGTCGTTTGTTTCCATAAGAGCATTAAGATGTATTTTATTATCTAATGTTTGTTGAAATACATTCCAATTAGTGAGTTTATTAGTTAGTGATAAAAAGGGTTCTTCGTTACATACTTTGTTATTTAGAGTAATAATTACTGGTGAGTGATCTGAGTCCAGCCCTAACTCTTCTTCTATGTTTAGGAAGTTAAGCGATATATTTTTCGTAATAAAAAAATCAAGCTGGTCCGGAATTTTACTTCTATCTGTTGGCCAGTAAGTCGGCTTCCCAGTGGAGAGCACCTCATGGTTCAGTTCTCTTCCTTTTGTATTTGTCAAGCGAGAACCCCAAGACATATGTTTTGCATTAAACTTTCCTCCAAGTATAAATTTGTTGTCAAGATGTAGTAGAACTTCCTGATAATCTTCTCTTTTGAGATTATGTCTCGGTGGTATGTACGTTGCTCCTACAGATATTAAGCCATTAGCAGTTTGAACTTTTACCACTGTAGTTTGGTGTTGTTCAGTACTAATTGTATTGTTCAAATAGTATTATTCAAAATAATTCACTCGGGTGAATTGTGTGATAAATATTGTAATGGTTGATGTTTATATACGATTCTCGTGTAAAGTGAGTTTCGGAGATAAGACATATATCAATATTGTTTTCTTTAAGTATTATAGGTAGTGTGTTTTGATGTTGTCGAAGACCATTAGAATTCGAAATTTTTGAATCGCTCCTTGGTTTAAATTGCTTTCAAGAAATGTAGACGTGCATATAATGTTTTTATTGTTTCTTCTTGTTGAAGTATTTTTTCTAGTATTAGATCTAATTTACTGTCAGTCTTCTTATCGATTAATGTACTTAGTTTTTTCTGCAGTTTCACCACTCGCTTTTTCGGCATACGAGACGCCTTGCTTTATTTTATTTGAATTTACTGTTTCCTCTTTCCTGATGGCTTGTAGTTCCTTAATCACAATGCATTCTCGGTTGTTTGCTGGATGATTTTCTCCACAGTTGAAACATTTAGCCGGGATTTCTTTGGCTTTAGTGCATTCGTTGGTCCAGTGTCCACCAGCACATTTAACACATCTCGGATTTTTGTGGCAGTAAGCTTTGGTGTGGCTCCAACCTTGACATCTTTTGCACTGGGGTATTTGTTTTGGCTTTCTGTACTCTTCGATTTTGACACGCATTCCTAATATGTTTGTTATTTCATGGATTCTTTTTACATCCTCTGACGGTGCAAAATCCAAGATGTATAAAGGAAGAGGCTCTTTTGTTTTGTATTTTAACATTTGGGTTACTTTACAAATGTTATAATTGCGCTCCAATAGATCATCTTTGATATCATTAACATCATAGCTTTTCTGCGTCTATTTAGCGACTACTTGCAGATTTCTGGTTTGCTTATTTTTATAAGTTGACCAGGACAAATTCTTTTCAGTAAGCATCTTTGATGCTTCTCTGTACTTTTAATTACGCTTTTAAGTAATTTATAAATGTCATCATATTGTTTGACATTATAAATTAATATTGGTGGGGGTAGTAATACCTTTGTTTTGTTTTTTATGCCAGATTGTACGGGTTGATTTTCAGGTTTGCTTTCAATTTCCGAAGACAATTTAGATGGCGAGGTTTCAGTTTTACGTTTTTTTGTTTCTATTAGCTTGTTTTATTATCCAGTCAGTCTCCAAAGCTAACTCTTCTTCGTCTGTGGTAGACATCACTTTGGTGGTTACTGGAAGATTAAGATTTTGTTGGGTTTTTAGACCTTCTATAATGCCCTTCAGGTCATCTATTTGTTTCTGAAGAGTAGCTTAAGTTTAAGCTTTAAGTTCGGCGGAATGTGCTCTTTCTTTTTGTAGGGAATTTAACAGGGAGAATTCCATATCCGTTTTTGGAGTAAACTTTTCAATGTTATTGACCCACTTAATTGTTTATTTCACACACATTATTGCGCATTCCGATTTACTTACTTCGTAATAACAGTAATTACGAATTATTATTTATTGTTATAAATCGCGTGTATGATTAATTTATATTATTAATATGTTTGTATAATCAATATCAAAAATATTGTACTGTTCACACTATTTTATATTATTTATATCATCTATAAACGATTTATAAAGCGTAAAATAAAACACTTGACGCACGATCGCAAAACACATCCGCTCTTTAGCGATGCACAAATCGAACTGAGGTTGACTTTGATAAAAGTTATAGGTACCTAGCGTTTTTCGTTTTCGAGTTATTTCGGTTTTAAGCTTCTTTTGGTAAATTTTAACATGCTCTTTAAAATCCCATATCTCAGCCAACGTTCATTCAAAAAAGATATACATTGGCACCATTACTCTTCAGATGCTGTCAAATAGTTTGTCATTTGTTGTATCGGAGTATCTTATACAGGATGGTCAAAAATTGAATTACTGTTTCTCCATATTCAATGACGAGAAAGTAGAAAATTTTAAATGGATTTTAAATACCCCATATTTTTTTAGCCTATCAGAAAGGGAATTTAATTCTCTACAAATTATGTATAAACATTCCTATACCTATTTATTGTAGTTTGCCTCATATTGGGTAAATTTATTAGAACATGCACGAAATACAGGTTTTTTTTATTAGAAAGCTAAAGATTTTTGACAGTTTTTGGTCCACGACAGGACGTGTCGAACATTTAATGAGAGATGCCTAATAAACCTAACGCCCGTCACAAGGAAAAATTTCAAAAAATTGAGAAAGATTTTCTTAGTGTTGGACATATCAAGACCAAAGGAAACCGCATATTTCCGGCTGCCAGTGATGAAGACAACGAAATAAATATTTTATTGCATTTCCAAATTCAATTTGATTACAAATTTATATTTTTATCCAAATCTAATTTTTGTCATTAATTTTTTGTTTTCATTGTTTCATTTATTTGATCTTCTGTTTGTTATTTTTGGTAAGTAAAAGCTAATAAACTAAAAGATTATCAGTCGTAGATAATAGTAGAAATAAATTAAACGAAAAGCTGTCAAAATGTCAAGGCCTTGTAATAAAAACACAAACACTTTCCTGCATGGTGTAGGTGTAGGAATGTTTATAGATAAATTGTAGAGAATTAAATTCCCTTTCAGGTAGGCTAATAAAATATGGGGCATTCCATTTAAAATTTTCGACTTTCTTGCGGTTGAATATCGAGAAACGGTAATTCAATTTGTGACCTCCCTGTATAAGATACTCTAATACAATAAATGACAATCTATTTGATAGCATCTGAAGAGTAATCTTGCCAATTTAGAACTTTTTTGAATGAAGTTTGGCTGGGATATGGGGTTTTAAAAAGCATGATGAAATTTGCCCAAAAAAACTTCAAATCAAAATAACTCAAAAACGAAAAACGATAGGTACCAATAACTTTTATGAAAATTAACATATCTTTTTACGTACAATTAAAAGGTGTAATAAAAACTTTAGCATTTCATTTAAAATAACGAAGTTATGGCCTACTTCCGGTAAACCGGAAGTGGCAGCCATCTTGAAAATATTTTGGATCAAAAGTTCCAAAATTTCAAAACTATATGAATAGTGGAACTTCAAAAAGTTCTAACAAACCAGTTATGTGAGAAACATGATTTTTCTGTAATAAATACCAATTCATAAACAACTTTTATGTTACCAAAATATAAGATTTTCTTATCATCTAATTCATATAACTGTAATGGGACTAATTTGCCATGTTCTAATTGAGTCCCGTTGCACGAATTCATATCACAAACATAATGTTTATCATTTATAATTATAATTTCTGCTTGTTGGTGACTAACAGTCTAAAAAATATTATTAAGTAACCTCAACATGTTTGCTTTATATAAATAGAAGCATACATTCTCCAAAATCATAACAGTAGATTGTTTGCTTCTTCCAATAAGATTAACACCCTCGTATACCGGAAATTTCTTTTTGTTCATCAACAAGTACCCTCTCTAAAATCCAAATTGAAGGTTAGAATTACTTTCAAATTACTTTTTAACTTCTAACCTTTATCCTTGACATCTTATATCGCGAATTCAATATACATTAATAATTTTAAACAATCTAACTCAATTTTGTGGTTTTACGAGTTCTTTAACATTTAATCTTTGCGTTTTAAACGATGTTTAGATGCAGGTGTCAACTTTTTGACGTATACCATTGTTACCAACTTTATTTTTTAATTTCTTTTTAAATTAAAACAATTAATAATACGATTTTATTAAAATTAAATTAATTATTATTGTAATCAATATATTTAATACAAAAATAAATCAATAAATAATAACAATTAGAATTAAAAAAATTTGCTAAATTAATCGAAAAATTTCGAACATAACCTCACATAACCTACAAATATACTTTTATTGATTTTATTGTAATTGATACAAAATGGGAAAAAGTTCAAAAGATAAACGAGATATTTACTATCGAAAAGCAAAAGAGCAAGGTTGGAGAGCAAGAAGTGCATTTAAACTTCTCCACATCGATCAAAAGTTTGACATCTTCACGGGGGTTAAAAAAGCTGTAGATTTATGTGCAGCTCCAGGTAGTTGGAGTCAAGTTCTTTCAAGGAAGTTGTATATGCGCGAAACTACCTTTGAAATTTTTGAAAATTCGCCTGAATCTGTAACGGATGCAAAAAGCAAGGAAGTTGATAAAGATGTCAAAATTGTTGCTGTCGATTTGCAACCGATGGCCCCACTCCCTGGAGTTATCCAATTAAAAGGTGATATCACTGATTATGAAACAGCGGTGAAGATTATGGAACAATTTGATGATAATCCGGCTGATTTAGTTGTTTGTGATGGAGCTCCCGACGTGACCGGCATGCACACTTTAGATGTTTATATTCAAGCCCAATTAATAGTTGGGGCTTTACACATTACATTTAACATTTTAAGAAATGGGGGAACCTTTGTTGCAAAGATATTTCGAGCTAAAGGAAGTGAATTGTTGGTTTCACAATTAAATATGTTTTTTGAAAATGTTTTTATTGCAAAACCTTATAGTTCAAGAAATAGTAGTGTGGGTAAGAATTTGAAATCAATAAATCCTTTTAAATATCTCAATTTAATTTTAATTTTTAGAGGCATTTATTGTTTGTAAAAAATTTAATCCCCCAGAAGGTTTTGATCCAAAATTAGTATCAAAATATTTAGATACTAACAATAAAGATTTTAGTACTCTTACTGGAGTTAATAGGATGATAGTACCATTTTTGATTTGTGGCGATTTTAGCGCTTATGATTCTGATACAACTTATTCTTTACAGGTAAATAATTTTTTTAAATACTTATCTANAATATTTTGGATCAAAAGTTCCAAAATTTCAAAACTATATGAATAGTGGAACTTCAAAAAGTTCTAACAAACCAGTTATGTGAGAAACATGATTTTTCTGTAATAAATACCAATTCATAAACAACTTTTATGTTACCAAAATATAAGATTTTCTTATCATCTAATTCATATAACTGTAATGGGACTAATTTGCCATGTTCTAATTGAGTCCCGTTGCACGAATTCATATCACAAACATAATGTTTATCATTTATAATTATAATTTCTGCTTGTTGGTGACTAACAGTCTAAAAAATATTATTAAGTAACCTCAACATGTTTGCTTTATATAAATAGAAGCATACATTCTCCAAAATCATAACAGTAGATTGTTTGCTTCTTCCAATAAGATTAACACCCTCGTATACCGGAAATTTCTTTTTGTTCATCAACAAGTACCCTCTCTAAAATCCAAATTGAAGGTTAGAATTACTTTCAAATTACTTTTTAACTTCTAACCTTTATCCTTGACATCTTATATCGCGAATTCAATATACATTAATAATTTTAAACAATCTAACTCAATTTTGTGGTTTTACGAGTTCTTTAACATTTAATCTTTGCGTTTTAAACGATGTTTAGATGCAGGTGTCAACTTTTTGACGTATACCATTGTTACCAACTTTATTTTTTAATTTCTTTTTAAATTAAAACAATTAATAATACGATTTTATTAAAATTAAATTAATTATTATTGTAATCAATATATTTAATACAAAAATAAATCAATAAATAATAACAATTAGAATTAAAAAAATTTGCTAAATTAATCGAAAAATTTCGAACATAACCTCACATAACCTACAAATATACTTTTATTGATTTTATTGTAATTGATACAAAATGGGAAAAAGTTCAAAAGATAAACGAGATATTTACTATCGAAAAGCAAAAGAGCAAGGTTGGAGAGCAAGAAGTGCATTTAAACTTCTCCACATCGATCAAAAGTTTGACATCTTCACGGGGGTTAAAAAAGCTGTAGATTTATGTGCAGCTCCAGGTAGTTGGAGTCAAGTTCTTTCAAGGAAGTTGTATATGCGCGAAACTACCTTTGAAATTTTTGAAAATTCGCCTGAATCTGTAACGGATGCAAAAAGCAAGGAAGTTGATAAAGATGTCAAAATTGTTGCTGTCGATTTGCAACCGATGGCCCCACTCCCTGGAGTTATCCAATTAAAAGGTGATATCACTGATTATGAAACAGCGGTGAAGATTATGGAACAATTTGATGATAATCCGGCTGATTTAGTTGTTTGTGATGGAGCTCCCGACGTGACCGGCATGCACACTTTAGATGTTTATATTCAAGCCCAATTAATAGTTGGGGCTTTACACATTACATTTAACATTTTAAGAAATGGGGGAACCTTTGTTGCAAAGATATTTCGAGCTAAAGGAAGTGAATTGTTGGTTTCACAATTAAATATGTTTTTTGAAAATGTTTTTATTGCAAAACCTTATAGTTCAAGAAATAGTAGTGTGGGTAAGAATTTGAAATCAACAAATCCTTTCTGTAAAGAAATATCCTAATTTAATTTTAATTTTTAGAGGCATTTATTGTTTGTAAAAAATTTAATCCCCCAGAAGGTTTTGATCCAAAATTAGTATCAAAATATTTAGATACTAACAATAAAGATTTTAGTACTCTTACTGGAGTTAATAGGATGATAGTACCATTTTTGATTTGTGGCGATTTTAGCGCTTATGATTCTGATACAACTTATTCTTTACAGGTAAATAATTTTTTTAAATACTTATCTAATTCTTTGATATCTTATTTTGTTTAATAGCTTGAAGGTGAACTTCCTTATAAATACCACAATCCCGTTCAACCACCTTTACAACCTCCTTCTGCAGAGTTCAAAAATATGAATTTATCTGATAATACCGGAGCAATAGCCAAGGATTTTAATGTAGATGAGAAAAAGAATGAAACTTCAATTAAAAATTCAACATTGCCTCAAAATCTTGAGGACAATCAAAGAAGAAGAAAACGAAAAGGTTCGTCTAAAACTGAAGAAACCACCAGCAATGCATCTGATAAAAAAGATCCCCCAAAATCAGATGATACACATAAAGAAAATGAAACGAATCAATCTGAAACAACAACTAAAGTTGATAAAAATATCAAAGAAAATAAAGACGACACATTAAAATTTAATTTTTATTTCCATTTGAGTAACCCATTAAAAAACGCGATTGCAGAATTTGATTATCAAGTGTACACAATTAGTAAAGCAAGGGAAATGAAGTTGAAAGGTGAAAAGTTCGTTGAGACTCCAGAATGGCAAATTGAGCAACGAAAAAAATTTTTAAAAGCTATCCCTGATGGAATTCAACCTATATCATCAGAGAATGACTTAAAATATGATACCCATATGTTGGATTTTTACAATAAATTTGATATTGCAATGAAGGAACAAGAAAGAGCTGGATGTGGACCAATTCTTAGGGAAAAAGTTCGTAGATCTCGTATGGCTGAAATGACTGAACCAGTTTGTGAATGTTATAAACAAGATTAAGTTTTTGTTTTGTTAAAGTAAAATAAATTACTTGGATTAATCTATTATTAGTTTTTTTTAATGGTTTTTTAAATCAAACATTTTAATCATTTCTTGGCTATCTAATAAATATGTAAAAAAATACACACTGTGTTAATTAATTATCGTAATCCACGTGACCTGTGTAATATTGGCTGCATATAATATGTCGCCATCGTTTTTAGGAACTTTCGTCGCGTTGCAATACCAATATGTGATATTGGTTGCATACTTTGTCGGGTACGTTAATTAATTAACAGACTGTATAATGGCTGTATATGTAACTGCAAAATTCAACTATCAATACTTGCCCTTACCATTTGAAAGAACCTGGGTACAACCAGCTAGTTTTCTCTGGTAACATGTCCATAATAGCCCTTTATAGCTTTAACATTGGTTAATTAGAGTCTGCAGCTAGGAGCCTTGACATTTTGACTCACTTTGTAATTATATTGTCTCATCTTCATCATTTTCTGTAACAAATTTGTACTCTTGTGATAACAAAATCCTCCGCATATGTTTGACATGAGTTCTTTGTACAATATAATATGTTTCATAATATTTAGGTTAACTGGTTATAAATTAGACTCTTCTTCTTCTTGCTCCACTCAGGCTTAAAGCCAACCTGGTGCCCAATAAGCGATTCCTTTTCTGACTAATTGTTGCGACAGCTTCTGAGTGGAAATATTTCATTGCTATTTTATACACAATAAAGATTATTATTATTATACAAACATGGAAATAATGGTTGATTTATGAGATTTAAATCCCGGCGGCTGCTTTTCCGAGAGAATTTCGGGGTTATGTAGAACAAGGCAACTATTCTCCAGAGTTAATATTCAACGTTGATGAGACAAGTCTTTGTTGGAAGAAGTTACCAGCACGAACTTTTATTTCAGGTGAAGAGCGATCTGCTCCAGGTTTTAATGTTACGAAAGATAGAATAACTCTTTTGCTGGGAGCGAATGTTTCAGGAACTTTGAAACTCAAACCGATGTTAGTGTAATTCACAGACACCACGTGCTTTAAAGGGTCTTAATAAAGACATGTTACCAGTTTACTGGAAATGGAACAAGGAAGCTTGGGTCACACAAGCTATTTTCACAGATTGGCATACAAATTATTTTTGCCCTACCATGCTTCCCTTTGTGAAATAAATAAATTAACACCCAAGAAATGCTCCAGGACATCCTCAATACCTGGACGAAATCAAAACACCATTGGCTGTCAAAGTGGTTTACATGCATCCAAATACAACATCACTTTTGTAGCCAATGGAGCAGGGGGTTATTGCAACCTTTAAGGCAACTATCTCCGCAATACTTTCTTGGAAATGGTGAGGACACTTCAGATAAACAGTTAAAGACTATTGGCGGTGTTTCGATATTTTAAAATGCATTAATAATCTAAAGTCGCCTTGGGATGAAGTTTCGGTAGAATGTTTAAATAGAGTTTGGCTTTTGCCAACATTAATGCACGATTTTGAAGAAGTACCTACCACAACAAGAGAATCTAATTGAAAACATTACCAGGCTTGTAGGTGATTTGGGATTGAAAGATGCTACTGCTCAAGATGTCATAGAACATTTAGATTCCAAATCAATCACTCTCAAATGAAGACCTAGAAGAATTATACAAAGAATTGGATCGTGAATAACCAGAGGATGAAGACAACAAAGAAGAAATTCCAAAAGTGATGAAAACGGCCGATCTAAAGCGTTGTCATGCATTTAGTTTTTTGAGCAGCAATGGACATATTGAATTGTTTCGCTTTGTTGTTAAATGCTTTTAGATTTCTCTGTAAATCGTTCCCGTTTTCAGCAAAGAGGACTGCGTCATCAGCATAATAGAGGATCACAAATTCTTGATCACTCATTTTGTAGCCCCTGCCTGTCTTGTAATGATGGAACAGATAGTGATTTTGCGAAAAGCCGGATATCCGGCCATTATGGTTATAATTTCTGGTACATTTCTGAAGTGAATCCTACATTGCCACATTATTGCGATATTTGAATAAAAATGAAATTATATAAAATATTTCCACAAGGATCCTTCAAGAAATGAATTTTATAGCGAATTTTGAAAATTATCGATGAAAATTGCAATATCGAAATTTTATCAAAACTTCAAATATTGTTTTCTCAAAAACTAAAAGTTGTTTTTCAAAACGTGTTGGTTCATTGAAAAGAGAACACTCCTATTAACACTTTGTGAAATTTTCATACTCATATTCCATGAAGTGGATTTTATATGAATTTTTAAAACTTAATAGGCGAAAATTACAAAATTCGAAAAATTTTTGATCATTTAAAAAATTTATTTCTCAAGAACTGAAAGTGATTTTTCAAAACGGCTTTTTGCATTAAAAAGAGGATACTTTAATTAATAATTGGTGATATTTCCACAAGGATCCTTCAAGAAATTAATTTTAAAGCGAATTTTGAGAATTATCGATGAAAATTGCAATATCGAAAATTTTATCAAAATTTCAAATATTGTTTTCTCAAAAACTAAAAGTTATTTTTCAAAACGTGTTGGTTCATTGGAAAGAGGACACTTTTATTAACGCTTTGGGAAATTTTCATATTCATATTCCAAGAACAGGATTTTATACGATTTTTTAAAACTTAATCGGAAAATTGAAAAATTCGAAAAAATTTTGACTTTTTTATGATTTCATCCATCACAAGGTTGAATAATAGTGTACTCAATGAATCCCCTTGTCAAATGCCAGCATCTACTTATTATTTCCTTAGTGAGTTTTCCATTTATCTGTGCTTGTATGCTGTTTACCAAATAGATATTTTCGATGGTTTTAACTATATTTGTCAGTATTTCGCGGTTGTATAGGAGATTTATGACATCCTTTAATCTGATCTTATGGGGATTTATTATATTCTATTGGCCAAATTAGAGTCAAAGTGACATAAATGTATGAATGTTGTGTATTAAGATAATTAACAGTCGAATTAACATATTTAGTTAACATATTTTTGAATTTCTTCAAGAAGGTTTTTTCTTTTCTCAACTAATTTTAACACTTCCTCATTTGGGTTAACCAATAATAATACTTTATCTGTTAATTCATGTCCTTTAGGAAGGACATCATTAGTTTCTCTAATTGCTTTCATAATTTCTTCATCAGCATTCTCTGTGATCGTTTCTAACTTAAAATCTTCAAATAAATCTTTATCATCTTCAAGATTTCTCTTGCTAAACCAAGGATGATGGTTACCATTATTGTCGCTACTTAATGTTTCATTTATATCATTGTTTTCAGCAAATTCATCAAATAATTTAGTCACAAATTCATGATCTTTAATTACTTCTAATAAGTATTTTTCTTTATCAATTTCTGATTTTTCAGGACAATTTAATATTAGTTTTTCCAAATTTATTGCATCTTTTTCTAAGTTTATCTCGTCAGTGTCTAAATTACATTTTTTTTCACATACATTTTCTTGTTCTAATTCCACATTTTCTTCTTTTACACTTTTTGATTTAGATTCTTCTTCATCATTTGTGTTGATGATTGCTTCTAAATTAGAAATACCAGTTTTTATTTTCTCAACATTTGCATCATCTTTTAAAATGAGATCATTAAACATTTTGACTATCAATTCATTGTGTTCAGACTCCACATTACTTGTTTTATCTTCTCTTTTAATGGCAGATTCTTGTTTCAAAATCGGTTTTTCAAATTTTAAATTAGATGTATTCAATGTAATACCTTTTTTAACTTCATCTTTAGTTTGTTTTGATCCTTTTAAACTTGATTGTTGTTTTTCAACATTGTCTATATCTATAAAAGATTTTTCACCAAAACTTATTGATTGATAAAAATCAATTGTGCAATCCTCCTTTAAATAAGTAATAAATAACCTCCTAGATACCCCAAAGTTTACATTGCTCCTATTTAATAAATTATTTTTAAAAAATTTTTGATGATCATCCCAATTTTCATTATTTCCATCAACATTAAAACCAGCCAAGTCATCTTCACGAAAGGCTTCCTCAAGTAAATCATGCTTTTCATATAAATCACTTCCATATGTTTTATACAATTCATCAAATTCAGACTTTTTGATATCCACATGTCCCAAAACAAAAAATGGAATATAATATTTATCTATTCCAGTTAAATTTGAAAAATCCCTGTATGAACCATCTAGGTATGGTGTTAACTGTGATGGATTAAAGTCCTTAATTGATGTGTATTGTTTACAAACAACAAAACATTCTAAAAAGAAAAATCATAAATTTATAAAAAAATGATTAATTTTACTTAAGTACCATAACTTTCTGATCTTGAACTATGGGGTTTAACAACATAAACCTCTTTAAAAAGCACCCTAAATTGACTTAAAAATATTTGACAACCCCAAGTATCAAAGATTTTGGCTACAAAAGACCCATTTGTTTTTAATGTGTGTAAAATAATGTATATACAAGCTGTGATTAAACCAAGATGTAATTGAAAATCTGCTTCTACTAATCCAGACACTGAAATTATACAAAATTATATAAACCTTGCCTTCTTAAAAACATTATTTTTACCATCATGAGCACCATCACAAACAATAACATCAACTTTTTCATTCCCAAATATTTCCGATAATTTCTCACATGTTTTAACATCAGTAATGTCTCCCACAAGGGATGTTACTCCTGGAATTGGTTTTATTGGTGCTAAATCAACACTGGCAATTTTTATATTAGGTTCAAGTTGAATTTTGTCTTTTGAGGTAATACTTCGGATGTTGTGAAGTTTATTTGATATTACCTGAGACCAACTTCCTGGTGCTGAACACAAATCTATTACATTTTTTGCATCTAAAAATTATTTAATTATTAAAAACAATAAATGAAAATATTGGTGAAGGTAAAACACCTTTAAGCAAGTCGAAGGATTTGTCGATTTGTAGAAGTTTGTACGCACTTCTTGCTCTATAACCTTCAATCAAAGCTTTTCTAAAATATTCATCTGTATCTGATTGCATTTTTAAGCACACCAGGAAACATCGGAAACATGTGAGTAGGTAAACAAACTTAATAATTCATGATGGTTAAATATAGGAATGTGCATCGTGGGTTGATTGCTTGTGAATGATAGATGGAGCTTATTTATTTGAAATAAAAATTTTCAGTAAATTGTTATTATATTTACTGGTTTCAGGCTGTAGGAAGGTTCTTAACATTCACAAAAGTTGGTTTGTAATGTACCTTATAACTGTATTAGGAATGTAAAAATGACATATCGGTAAGGTAAAAATGACATATTAGTAATGTTATATTTTTACAATACAGGAAAAGAAGCTACATATTTAATAAACCTTCATTATGAAAATTTTAAGTAACAATGGAACAGAAATCTAATGCTACTTTTAATAATAGTAATTATTTATGTTCACCGTGCAATTAGAACAACCCGAAAAAGTGTGATGCATTAGGTAGTTTAGGTAAATTAACGTCACTCATTTTACGAATTATAAAATTTTTAAAAAATTAAATATTTGTTGACAAATAAACATCTTTGTGATTACCTAACAACCAACTTGTATAACGACTTTGACTTTTACGGAAAACGTTGCAAATGAATTTTTGATTTACTATTGTTCGCATTAAAGTCATCAAAATGCGAAAGTAGTCGCCTGAAACCGATAAACTATTGAAGAAACCTCGATGTTATGACACATTACAGCCTTAGATGTCTTAAAATCCTCGCTCTTCGAGCTCGGATTTCAACCTGACATCTGCGGCTGTAATAAACGTCATAACATTTCTCGGTATGTTAATAGCTATTACCGGTTTCAGGCTGTAAGAAGGTTCTTAACATTCACAAAAGTTGGTTTGTAATGTACCTTGTAACTGTATTAGGAATGTAAAAATGACATATCGGTAATGTAAAAATGACATATTGGTAATGTTATATTTTTACAATACAGGAAAAGAAGCTACATATTTAATAAACCTTAATTATGAAAATTTTAAGTAACAATGGAACAGAAACCTAATGCTATTTTTAATAATAGTAATTATTTATGTTCACCATGCAATTAAAACAACCCGAAAAAGTGTGATGCATTAGTTAGTTTAGGTAAATTAACGTCACTCATTTTACAAATTAATGAATTTTAAAAAAATAAAATATTTGTTGACAAATAAACATCTTTGTGACTGCCTAGCAACTAACTTGTATAACGACTTTGACATTTACGGAAAAAGTTGCAAATGAATTTTTGATTTACTATTGTTCGCATTAAAGTCATCAAAATGCGAAGGTGGTCGCCTGAAACCGATAAACTATTGAACAAACCTCGATGTTATGACACATTACAGCCTTAGATGTCTTAAATCTGACATCTGCGGCTGTAATAAATGTCATAACATTTCTCGGTATGTTAATAGCTATTATTTGTTTATTTGTTGTGAGATATAATCAAAAATTCCTTTTTTTCAACAACTTTGAAACAATGTTGGTCGTTGTTCATTTTTGCAGATGTCTCATAACTATATGATAATAACGAATAAATAACAATGGGTTCACATCTGACAGGGCAGTCTGCTGCGATACCATGTGCCTATTTGTTTCTGAATCTTGAAGAACAAGCGTGAAATTTGGTATGGCTTTCTGCTGACAAATTCCTGCCATTTGGAGATTTTAACCGGCCAGAAATAAAATGGGATTTTAATCGTCATTGTTGAATGAGTGTGGTAGGTCCATCAATACATGAAGAAACTGGTCCAAGCTCTGATGAAAGAGGAGATGTAGGCAAATCCATTTGACTTTATCGTATGTTCGTACGTCATGGGTCTCGGGAGTTACTTTAATTGGCACCTGGCCTCTGGGTAAGTTTTGTTTCAGGGTCTTTCACCTCCAACTATTGAATGTTAGATACGGAAATGGACTTTGCTCATTGCCAGTTACTTTATGAGAGATCAGTTTTGTTAATTAAGATTAATGACTTACATATAACAAATGTTGGGTAAGGTTAGTTTGGTTATTAGCGTCACTGACCTCCAGGTACAGAATGTTGGGTAAGGTTGTATATTACGCATTACGCAACAACCATTTCAGTTACTTTAGAACAGATCAGTATTTTTTGTTAAGTTTTATGATCTCTAGGTGAGGAATGTTCGGTAAGGTTAAGAACTTCTCGCAATGGCAGGAATCGCTTCTTTGTAAAAATTGGTGACCATACACGGTATATTTTGCAAGAACGCTTTGTAATATTTTCTATTAATATTTTCATCCCATCTGGATCTAGTAAAGAATCGTATAGTTCGATGGCATGTACTAACTGCCTTGCGACTTCTTCAGTGTCGTTCATTATGGGCAACAAAGTTTTCGGCATTTTTCGCTCATATTTACAACTTCTGATTGGCATTGTATCTGTTATAGTTTCTAATAGCATGTCTATAGATATAATATTATCCCTACCTTCTTTTATCTCTAACCTAATACGATCTTTTACATTAAAATTCTGCCTAAAAGTAAAATTATTTACTTTATCTAACTTCCGTTAAGTTTTATCACTATATTGTCTTGTATTGGTGTTTTCCTTGGACAAATGTCTATGACAATTTCTTAGTTCTTCTAATAGTTCCTTTATTTGGTTGGGCGTCTCATTATTTGAAAATTTTCCTGGCTGAGATGACGACGTAATCTTTTTTCCATAATCTTTTCCTGTCTTCGAACAATATATACCAGCGACGTGAACCCAATTACCACTAGGATGGTCAAAACTTCGTTGGTTTGTTCTCCACTATTATATTTACAGCTTGAGCAATTTCGATTTCTTTATTTACTTCTTTGGATTTCCCCATAATTTCTTTAACTGACAATGAGTCACGCTGGCAGTTGCGTTGGCAAGATAGTCATGTAAAGGGTAACTGACCTCCAGGTAATGAATGTTCGGCATGGTTATGGTCTTTGGGCAATGCCAGTTACTTTACGAAAGGTCACTTTTGTTAACTAAACTGTCTATTAGGAAATATCTGTTGTGTTTACTAAGGTTGGGTTGGGTTGGGTTTACTAAGATTGATGACCTTCAGGTATGAAATATTGGACACACCAAGATTAACCAATTTTGTTGTGTACAATCTCAAGCAAAGAATAGGGATTTTCACAGCGTTTGCTGCATAACTTGCTCAGATTTCCAACTCAGATTATTTTCAGGTAATAAATGTCGGGTATGGTTATGGTCTTTGGCGAATGCCACTCACTTTGAGTCAGGTCAGTTTTATTATTAAGGTTAATAACCTCCAAGTAACCAATGTTGGCGAAGATTAGGGACTTCGTCTAAAGCCAGTTACTTTGCGAAAGGTCACTTTTGTTAATGACTTACAGGTAACAAATGTTGTGTAAGGTTACTTTGTTTATCATGATCACTGACTTCAAGATAAGAATGTTGGGCAAGGTTATGAATTTTGCACAATATCAGGTCTATTGGGAAATATCAGTTATCTTTACTAAGGTTGGGTTGGGTTGGGTTTGCTAACGTTGATGACCTTCAGGTATGAAATGTTGGATACACCAAGATTAACCAATTTTGTTGTGTACAATCTCAAGCAAAGAATAGGGATTTTCACAGCGCTTCCGCTATAACTTGCCCAGATTTCCAAGTCAGATTAATTTCAGCTGGACCTAGCTGCTATTTGCAATAGAATCCAGCTCCATGGAAAAGTAAATTAAATTCAGAGTACTGGCGTATTAATGACCAAATTCAAAGGACACTCTAGTTTGAAATATTTTCTTTCCTTGAAATTATCAAGTATAGAATTAGATATGATCTGCAGTAAATCTATATTGTCTTAGGAGAAAGAGTTGCAACATGTTAACAGTCTATTAACACTTTAAATTTTCTTCTGGAATTAATAGGTGTGGTATGTTTGAGTATAAGAAAATGTTTGGTCCTCATTTCAAGGATAATCCAATTAAGTTACAGCAGCGTTCCGCAAACTTTTTTAAGTGGCGGCCCAAAAATATCCATAAAATCTTAATGTGACATGACACATANTTCTTCTGGAATTAATAGGTGTGGTATGTTTGAGTATAAGAAAATGTTTGGTCCTCATTTCAAGGATAATCCAATTAAGTTACAGCAGCGTTCCGCAAACTTTTTTAAGTGGCGGCCCAAAAATATCCATAAAATCTTAATGTGAAATGACACATAAGAAGTTAAAAGAGAGGATAATTGCTGTTATTGAAAATGAAACCTAAGTCTACTATTAAATATAATATTTATGCATTTCAGTTAAATGTACAAACAATAACAATATCAATTTTGAGATAAGCATTTCTTGTAAGATTAGAGTCTTTTATGTTGCTACATCTCGATTCACCAATTTATGCATCCTAGGTTCAATCGACTGATTTAATCTCATTGTGGCATCAATGCTTTCGATTCTTAATTACAGCGAGAACTGAAAAGCCACTTTTCGCAAAATATGTTGTTGCAAATGGTAGTGAACATTCCATTGAATGATGAAAAATATCAGTAAGGTCAGCAACCTTTGCAAGCCATATGTTGTGTTTGAAGTGTACTGTTAGTAGTAAATTTTGGTCATTACCATTTGGAGGTATTTCTTCAGTCAAACAATCTTTTCAGTACTTTCCTCCTCGAGTCCGAACTGCGCTATTACGAGTATGGTTTACAATTTTTACACAATGATCTAAAACTGTTTCTTTTTTTGTGTTTATTCTTACCATCGCCACTGCTCCATCCGTATATATATTCCAAGAAATGTCTTTAGACTCAATGTATGAATTTATTGCATCAAAATCTTCGTGAGATGTAGTGTACGATTATAGTTTTAAGGTGCATAATAATTCATCTTTCTTTTCCTCCAACTCAAAATCAATACATCTTACGTATGCTATCAATAACTGTAAGGCATAATATGGTGAGTCTTCCAATCTGTCAATTAGTTGTAATTCCAGGTTATTTGAAATGCTAAGTACTCGTCTGCTTACTATTTCAGCAGACATAGGAATATTATTAATTTGCACAGCATATTCTTTTCCAAACATTTCTCGACAAACTTCT